TCTAGTGGTTGTAGTAGTGCGACTGCTGATCATGAGGTCCCGGGTTCGAATCCTGGGTCGGGCCAAAAAGTCAGTTATGAGTTTTTCATTTATGTTCTAAGTTATAATTAGTATTACTAAGTTATAGTTTTTTGCTAAAATATAGTATATTATTTATTGCTTGTTTTTTCTTCTTTTTCAAAAAATAATTGAGTACATAAGGTGTTCTATACTTATATCTCGGTAAAAAGTACTAATATACCTACTTTTTACTATAAACTAAAAAATTTTAAAACTAAATTTAACTAAAAAGACTAAGCTGACCATTTATTTTTTAACTCATAACAGGACATGGGTTTATTTATACTCTAAAAACTATAACTTTATACAATTAGTGTTCACTATAAAATTATATTCGGTATAATTTTTAATTCGGTAATTATTAAATGCAACATATTTTTTTTAATTATTAATTACATTTGTCAGTGGATTAAATTTGCTTTAATAAAGTTGGTGATGATTTTAAATAAGAATAAAATTCTGCTCAAGTTTTTTATTGTTATCTTTGTTAACAACATCGCCTTTAGAACTCTGGAACCGTAAGTGTTTCTTTCAGACGTCCACAATTTATGCAAAATAAAAAAATACTCTTTCTACCGGAGCATTCGTACCAGGTAGGCATAAAATATATTCGATTAAAAAAAATTATGTTGAAGATTGTTGACTTTGAATACTTCCATCCAACGAGTTACGGGACAATTTTGTGTCCCGGTGCTTTGTTTGGGGACAATGGGACAGGAGACCGAGAAAAGGGACAGTCCCGTTCAAAACGGGACGTATGGTCACTTTAGCTATAACCCGGCGACCATGAAGCAAATACAAAGTTAGTCTTTGTATTAGCTTCATGGTGGCGCAGTGGCTTAGCAATCAGTTGTTGCGCTGGGGGCCGCGGGTTCGAATCCCGCATGGAACAAGATTTGTATGGCCTACAAATAATTGTTCCGGGTCTGAATGTTTGTCTTTGTGCAATTTATGTTTGTAAACTGCCTCCACGACACAGGAGAAAATCCTAGTGTGGGTGTAACGTTTTTTTACAACTGAAATTGAAAGATTGAACCCTTATACTTCTTGTTGATTTTTGTATTTATATATTTTTTATTGCACCAAATATTTGTACAAAAGCCGAGTTATCTATTTATTTACCTATAGTGAATAGGTATCTTTTAAACTCACAATTTTCAATGCTTCCGTTTATATAATTAATTATAAAATTTCATAATTAGATAATATATGAAAATACATAATTCTAATATAATGCAACTAATATATACAGAATAAAAAAATTAAAATACATTTATCTTTGTACGCTATGTGTATTTCCATAAAACAGTTTATTGATGTTGAAAAAATAATACTACTTTCGTACAATAGGTGGCGTCTTACATATTTCTTCCGGCGAGCCACTCGCTACAATATATTAATATTGTAGCGAACGGCGCGCCGGTCAAATGCTCAAGGTCGTTCGCATGGAGTAGCCCCTTAATAAGTATAAGAGTTTGATAGATCAAGAATTTCATTCCTACACACTTTTCATGTATCGTGTACGGTTTGCTTTAAAACTGAAAAAAACCGCGTTTCGGGACACTTTCTGGGACGTGATCAACAGGCTTAGAAACGTTGAACTCGCCATCAGCCAGTTTTATATGTTGCAGATGAGACCAGGACTTCTTACTCAACGACACTTTTGATAGATTCTTGAAAAGGTGGTTGATGACTAATGCTTGAGTTGTGAACTCATAGTCTTAGTAAATGGATTGACATTCAAGCATGTGACTCCTTTGCCATTTTTCAATCCATTTCCAATGCCAGATACTGATGCATGATACCGTTGTCGAGGCAAACCCAGCATCTGCAAATTTGAGACCCTAGATCTAGAAGGCATCTCAAGGTAATATATAGAAGCTTTGACCATGACAGTTAAGGTCGTCAATAGAATCTCCTCGTCATCTGTAGCGACGTTATTAACGCTATTTTGTTTAGTATTTTGTCCGTTGAAACTTGTTGAAAATGAGGATTGTGTGGCTTGCTGTTAACCATCTTCTGTTAATAAGTTTTGTTGGATGATGTTGAGACCTCTCGTTGTTCCCTTTTACCTATTTGCTCTAGAGCTTTGAACTTGCTCTCTAAAAATGCTATAAGTTCAGAAAGCGGTGGTAAGTTTCTATGCGACTTTCGTGCTTCTTTATAGTCACTATATGTTTCAGTATCCATCTTCTTTCATATGAGTTGGACGAGCAGTGGATCCCAGGTACTTGTACTGATACCTAGGTTCTGTGTAGCATGGGTATTTTTCATAGATGTATCATACAGACGTCTAATTTTGTATGCCGAGTGGTTGTTAGCAATCGGTTGATTCAGGAAAACCTCAATCTGCTTAGCAAACAACAGTTATGTGTTGTATTATATATATTTGTTAACAGTTCCCAGGCTGTGTCGTAGTTGTCTGCTAAGATTTTAACAGGAACTAGTCGCTCGACATCTCATCGTAATTTATTTTTCAAGTGCTGCATTTTTTGGGTTTTTTGAGCAGATTATTGTTATATACTCTTTACGTAAAGATCATAGAATATAGGCCATTGTGTGTATTTGCCTGTGAATGTAGATATTTCGATTTGTAGATACAAAGTGTCGATTGCATTCTAGCTTAGCTTCCACTTGTCTCGTATCTCGTCAACTTGCAAGCTACTACCTTGTCGGTGGAAAGATTTAAAGCTCTTTGCAAAGATAGCAGTTCTGCTGCCTGGCCTTGATCTGTAGGCGAGTTCATATATGACGTTGATGGTACTGTGAGTCTCAACTGTAGTTAAGGTGGAAGCGTAATTTGAGCTGACTCTTGTGGCACGATCTTAGGCATCACTTCTGGTATTGGACTTGCAGTAATTTCACTTGACTTGGAAAGATGACATCTTGATATACACAGAATCCAAGTACCTATGTCCTGGCTTGTTGGTATTATTTTTCTATAAAATAAAATTTGTTTGTGTCATTATCATGGTTGGATAGCTTGTGGTTGTTAACTTGAAACTCAGCATTTATCAAGGGAGTCGAGTCGTTCACTCAAGTATTTACGGGTCTTCCGCAAGGGCTTCAGAAATGGCTGAAGTTTCTTTCTATTTTCTTGATCACTTCAACATGTCTTGTTGGCACTGAAGTAGATTCTTCAAGTCGTATAATATATTCACTATGTGACTCTCCAAAGATGAAAAAACCGGCAAAGTGCGAGTCGGACTCGCGCACCGAGGTTTCCGAAAAAATCTGTAGGTATATAATAGTTTAAAATTATTAAAAATAATTTTATTTTATAATGTAACTAAAAATTTATACTTTTCGCAATTTTTACTTTATCTTTGTAATAAAACGTTGCTTCGTACCAAATTTCAAGATTCTGAGTTCACGGGAAGTACCCTGTAGGTTTTAATTCTCTTGCGAATGTCGAAAATTTACAGCATAAACGGCTGTATCTTTTGATTGCGTTAGCTTAGAAGTTGGTGTTTTTCACAGCTCTAAGGAATTGTAGACTTGAATATTTGATATGAATTTCAGCTTGATACCTCCACGCTTTCCTGAGAAAAAGGGTCTTGATAGACAGGCAGACAGACGGACAACAAAGTGATCCTATAAGGGTTCCGTTTTTTCCTTTTGAGGTACAAAGTAAAAAGATAAAAAGGACACTCGGAGTTCCTCCATGTTCAATACATGCTGTAATACAGCTTTTATTAAATAATTTTGATCTAATCTACCCCATAGAGCAACAGAGTCTATCGAAGGATTAGAGGGGATAGCCATAGGCAGGTATTTCCCTCTGTCAAAGTATTTCCACGCGGTACAATACAACAATAATACTAGTCGCAGCCGTTCTACTTACAACAAAACTAGTTGCAGCCGCACTACTCACTAGACTTAATATATTTGCGGGGGAATGAAAGTTCTACAAAAATGTGAAATTCTTCAGTTTATTGCTGCAAAAAGAGATCGGCCTCGTAAAATTTACAACAAAATGGCGTTACTTTTCATTTATAAGTAACTTTTGATTGCTTTGAAAATTGTTAAGGACTTAACTTTTAAACACGTTATTGCTATTTACTTCTTTTAAAACATAAAAGTTACAATAATAACGGTCGCGTTGTTTTGGATTTGTTTTACAAAATAGGCCGCTCGCCCTCACACAATTTGCAGATCGGTCGAGCGACTGATCCGAGTCTGCATCCGAGTTGTCGCTGTCACTGAGTGATACTATTATAATGTATCTTTGTGTGTATGTGAAGTGAAGTTATATTATAGTTTTAATTGATGTGTGAGTTTCGCTATGACGGATGATTGTTTATGTGTGCGTGAAATAACGCTATGGCTACTCCTCTTCGGTCCACCGGTGGCCCGCGTTACTCTATGGATCGTGCCCTAAGTAAATTTATTAAATAAAAGTGTTTGTTGGAAAAATAATTAAAATGCTTAAACTGATTAAATAAAAATGATAATAATCACACGTTTTACTCTGGTAAGAGGTAACTAAATGTGACGATAACAGAAATCAACTTTGCTGATTTTGTATTATACGTAACCGTATGCCGTAAAAGATGAAAGTATTTATTGAAAACTTTTAGTACCAACATTATAAATTGTAGCCGTGGTAGCTCAAATGGTTAGCGCTCGCTATAAGCTTCAAAGTACTCGAGCAACCCGGGTTCGATCCCTGCCGGCACCAATGAAATTGTTAATTGCTATTTTAAGTGCTGATTTACTACGTGCTCAGCGGTGAAGGAAAACATCGTGAGGAAACTTGCATGTCTGAGAAATAAGAAAAAAAATATTTTCGAAGATATGTGAAGTTCGCCAACACGCATTGGCGCAGCGCGGCGGACATTTCCTTGCCCTAAAACCCTCTCAAAAATGAGAGGAGGCCTGTGCCCAGCAGTGGGACGTAAATAGGCTACACATTTTATAAATTGTTATAATTCACATACCTTTACTTTTGAAATATTCACGATATCGTTCACTTTAACTGCATTGCCATCGCCATCTGTTATATTCACACTTGATCGGCTTCCTGTAACGGATACATCCAGGGCCGAAACTGCACTATCTACTGTACACTAAAACCAGAAGATAATAATTTTATTTATATAAGAATATTGTGGGCACATCGTAAATATATCTTATGAAGTGATCCACCATTTTCCATGAAATACAACCGTTCATCATACCGTATAAGTATCAGTTATGATCCATTCAACAATCTTGTGACGTCATAAATTATAAGTAGATTAGGTTACCATGGGTAGTTTTGACAACAAAGTGGTTAGTTTTTTTATGTAAAATTAATTATAAAATACCTAAATAGGTTTACAAAATTCATAATATTGTAAGTCGATGTTGTTGTACATTTTAAGAACAACTTAGCCTAAGTAAGATTGAGATAAGAATACCAAAGCGGTTAAAGCAACAAAAAAAAATGTTTATTCAATAAGCATGATTGTCACATAATTATAAAAAATCACAACTTACGTTAAATTTGTACCCGTATCCAGGGGGAAACTTCTTTCTCGCCAATTCCGTTTTTCTACTCTCTACTACTCTTGCAACGTAATTTAATAGCTTGAAAAATAAATTTTGTAAGTAATCGTTAATAAGGAACAGAAAAACATCTGTGCTCCCTATATAGTATGCTCTGAGCTATCATGAATTTAAATCAAACTTAATTGTCAATTTTTTTAACCAATGCTTTTATTTGTTTATTTAAACCCTTCAATTATATTAGTACCATATCATTCTGTATATGTATTAACAGATTTTACTTAGGACTAAGTACCTACAAGTGCAAACCTCACAGGTCAGCATGTACAGGTATAAAATTAATCAATAAATGTAAGACAAAACAGTACGTTAAACACTAAAAGGCAATAAAATCGATGAATTATTCTACACGTAAAACTAGCATAGATAGGTGTCATCACTAGCAATTTTTTTTTCTTTCTGACGCCACAATGCTCGGTAACCCAGGTACATAAGAATTAAGTGCGTATGATTCTAAATCATGTTTTTTTATATTATTCAATAAAGTAGTTTTATATTTAGTCTGCATATAAGACAAAATGCGTATACCGCAATTTTTTTATATTTTATTGTTCATTCTGCATAGCCTCCTGACGGGTTATTCCGTTACGCCGGACGGGGTAGATAATCGGAATTCATGTATTATTTTTTCTTTCGATTTATTCTGCAAGGCTTGTCAAAAGCTTTGCTAAATTCATTATAGATGACATCTACTGACATACGATTCTCAACGGAATCTTTCAAGGCTCGACAAATGCAACATGGTTGGAACAGGTGGATCTGGACTTTACAAAACCATGTTAGTGCATAGTAAGTAGTGGCTTTATATCGAATGGCTTTTGAAGATCATATCATATGCAGGATTAATTGAAATAGATCTTTTACTTTTTATTTAATGTATATGACCTGAATTGTGCAATGGCACAATTTTTACACTCCTTTATTATGTATAGCCTTTTTAAAATCTTAGATTGAGACACTGTGATGGAGGTAAGGTAATTGGGGGTGAACCACTCAACATTATTGGGACAAGCATTACTATATATGAAACTCAGGTCATTATAGGACTCGCCAAAAAATTTAAAATAGTTTGCATAACTGTAGACAATCTTGCTCTAACCAAATAGAGGCGAGATATGTAGGTAGTCAAGATTGAAATTGACTCAGGACGTTTTTAAAAAGACTTTATTTTAAACTTATTACTATTAATGTGCGATACATTACTTATATACTACTTAATTAATCCGCGATGGATTCTAACTTAAAGCTACATGTCCGATACATGTGAGAGCCTAACTATGACTATCCTAATTCTTATTCTAGATCTTTAAGCTAAAGAGTAGTTATCAGTATTCACACGAAAGGCCACCCGTCTTCCAGATGCAATTCAGCAATCTACGCCCACGCTTACGCTTGAATTGTGATGGTCTCCGGTGCAGTTCCGGGAATACCGGAATGCATAACTAGGTACATTTAGTTTTTCTTTTTTTAAGTTAACGAAAAATTCTAAGTTTCATTACCATTAAACATGATGGTACAGGCATTATCATATATTGCCTATATGGCGGTGTTTCTTCCCAGTGTCTCGGAAAGCACGTAAAGCCATTGGTTCTACGACTGATCTCTCTCTGTTATAATATTTACCTCACTAAATAAAACATCGCATTAGATTTTTAAATAATTACATGGCGGAATATAACTGCTCTAAAATTTCAGCAACAGTTTTTATAAAATCTAATTAACAAACCAACTTGCTGTCCACCTGACGCTAAGTGACTACTACAGTTTAAAAATAATCATATAAGCTTATAACTTTATTTTATTTCATAAAATGTGAAACAAAAATATAGATCATATTACTAATTTAATACCTGTTTAACTTGACTCTTTCCTAAAGTAAAAATTTGGCCTGATGTAGATTCAGCTAACTTCTCATAAACTTGATATCCAGGAGATGTAACGTTATGGTTCTGACATATTCCTGATATCACGAACACAATCTGAAAGATTTGTACAATGTGAATAACATATACGGCGTAGAGCCAAGCTGCCTATATTATGATTGTAGCACTAATGGCTTGACCAGGGTAACACCTCATTCTCACAGTATACAGCGTAAAATAGCAGCTTAATGCTGCTGTGTTTCGTGTGTTTCATAATATGGTTAGTGTAGAAAACCGGAGACCTTTTAAAATGGAAACAAGGCATTCCATCTCAGTCTTCAGGGGTGACAACGCAGCATTTCGATTCATAATTGAGGCTAAATGTAGAAGATGTCTTTGGGCCATAGCATCCACTTACCATCAGGTAGACTTTGTGCTCGTTTGTTACCCTTATAGCATTTAATTTTATGTATCTTAATGCATGTAAAAAATACATTTAGTAATAAATTGCATGTTAAAAATTAATGTGCAAGTAAATAAGTAGAATAGAATTTTAATCAGTCAGGCAATAATTTATATGCTGGATGACTTTTGTTTGACGTGTAAGCTTCCGAAACACAAACAGGCAAAAAATTAAGTTGCCCCATGATGAATGACAGGCAAAAATCTTGAGTGAACACACACGAACACACAATAAACGCCCATGCACGTAAACACATATATCCCTACAGAATCAAAAAATGTTTATATGTATACTATATACTTTGTGTTCGCTGTACCGCGACTGTGACACGTAATTTTTATATATAAAGATGGAGAAATTTCATCTTAAACCAAACAAGCGCTGACTAAACTTTACTTTAAGACTGAGGGTGCCGTATCCGTTCAATACTTATTTAAAAAAAAAACTTAGTAACGTGGATATGCAGTCAGAAAATATAAAAAAGGAACTAGGAATAGTTTAACAATTACTCTAATTTAAAGTGCTGGTAGGTTTTCACGACACAGTTCTTTGAACAATGTCATCCGAAGGCCTCTTGTCTCTATAAATGTTCCCTCGGTTTTAGAGCCTTGTGGAATATTTAGAGACGATGGCAGGAGACCGTATGACATTGGTTCCTTGGGGGAAAGGTAAAGCCCTAGTGTGGGATGCTACTTGCGTAGACACTCTGGCGGCCTCTCATCTCAGGGCTGCCTCGTTTAGAGCTGGGGCGGCATCAGATGTAGCTGAACTGAGTAAGTGGCGCAAATATGAGTCTCTGAGAGATAACTACATATTTGTGTCGTTTGCTGTAGAGACTATCAGTCCGTGGGGTCCACGTGCGGTGAAGTTCCTAAAGGAACTCTCTGCGGCTGGTCTTTGCTGCTGGTGATAAGAGGGCTGGTACTTTTCTCGCTCAAAGGGTAAGTATAGCCATTCAGCGGTGAACCGCAGCCAGCGTCTTTGGCACGATACCGCGGAAGCAGGACTATATGATAATTAAGTTTCTAGTTTTAGTTTTTTTTTTAATAATATTATTATAGTTTGTAAAAAATATAATATATTTGTGAAGATTTCTTTTTTTAATTATTTTTATTTAAGGGACTTTCATTATTATTAATATGTCAGTCCTATTGTACCTTATAAATAAATATCACAAAACAATTTATTAAATTACTTATACAATACATAAGAAATGATAAACCATTTGAGCAGCATCTGACAGTGGTTCAAAGAGTATACTTTGATATTGTATGTTGGCGACCAGTAGTTTCCTCTCGTGATGGTCTTTGGAGCAAGTTTTGTATGTCTTCGATTGTGTTGCATGTTTCGCAATTTGGAGATTGTTTCTTTTTCATCATGAAAGCAAACTGCCATCCAAAATATTTAACGTTCAATTAGTTGGTCACATTCGACTTTAAAGAATTCATTTCCTGATATCTTTTAGCACTCTTGATATAATCTGTCTTCCTTAATTACGGTTTTATTATTAATACTTTATACTTAAGTATTTAAAGAGAACATATCTAGTGGATCCGAAGAGTACAAATTACTATTATGAACTTGTTCCAATGTCATAGCTAGATGTGGTTTCTTTTTATTTTGCCAGTACCTATCTTGACAGAATAAGTTGAGATCAGTTAGTAGCTTAAGAGTTGTATTATTAGTTTTAGATTTACTTTTCAGGCAATATTTATATGCTATAAATTTTCTTCTTATAGATAGGGGCGTTATATTTAATTCACTTTCCATAACGTGTATTGGCGTGGTTTTGATAAAACCCCCTATAATACGTAGTGCTTGATTTTGGATTTTATCTAATTTACAAATGTGTCTATTAGCACTCATATCATATAAAAAGCAGCCGAAATCAATTCTGGTTCTTATAAGCGATAGATTAGGATTGATGCCTCAACCATGTCCTGTTAATACCTTTAATATATTTACAAATTTTGTTATCTTCTGGCTAATTTCATTAATATGTCAAGTAAAGTTAAGATGGGCTAATATCTTAAATATCTGTCCAACCAAATACCCAAATATTGTATATTATTGGTCCCAACTATTCTTTTGCCGTATAGTTCTAATTTAATTTCCTGACGTATAAAAGCTCTACAAGCTCTATCATAAGCTTAGTCTTAGCGATAGAAATATCTAAGCCTATTTTATTAAGTGAAGTGACTATAAAGTTGAAGGCATTCTGAATGTTGTACTCACAGTCCTTGAGATGTTTTGAATTCGAATAGATTATAAAATCATCTGCATATTGAACGATAGACGCATTTTGTATTTGACTGCATATATCATGTGTAATAATGTTAAATAATAAAGGAGACAAAGGGTCACCCTGCGCTAAACCCTTATTGGCCCATCTTTTCAATCCCTCTTTATGCGATTCCCTTTCTATAATAAGACGTCTTTCACTTAAACATGACCAAACATATTCACATAATTTTGAACCAACTTGAAGAATGTCGAGAACTCTCACTAATATATCAATTGAGACATTATTATAAGCGTTGTCTATGTCAATAAAGCAGGCGACAGTAGGGATATTTTTGAGAAGCCTAGCTGAATATGTGCTACTAAACATACTAAACAATCCAAGCACGATTGACATCTGCGAAAGCCGCTGATGTAAGGGGATAGCATCTTGTTGTGCTCTATGTACCATTCTAATCTTTTAGTTATAAGAGTTTGAAATATCTTAAAAATACAAGACATTAGTGACATAGGCCTTAATTTGTCCTTATTACTTCATTTAGGTATATGAATAATTTTAACATTTCTCCGTTGCATGGGTATGTATCCCGTTGTAAAAATTACGTTAAATATATATAATAAATACTGTTTGGCAACATCAGGTAGATTGTAAATAATAGAATAAGATATGTCATCGTATCCGGGGGACGTATCTTTCTTTTTTAATCAATTTTCAAATTCTTAAATAGTAAACTTAGCTTGCAATTTTTCATTTCTTGACGTGAATTCTGGCATTCTAGTCTGTACCGAATTCGGAGCAAGATTGCTTAATAGTTCTTTTAGTTTTTCTTCAGTAGGATAAAATTTGTTGGATCTGAGTCCCTTTAGCCAACGCATTTAATTCCACAAAATATTTGCAGTTACATTGCAGATTTTTTTCCAATTATTCTATTCAGCTTCTCTAATCAAACGAAACTGATCAAATTGAACTATTGGACAACTATCGGCCAACTGCTAAATCAGTACGGTGCTCTTCGACGCCCGCAAACACGCCGATTGTTTAGTCCGCCGACTTGGTCGATAACGTCACGAAAGGTCGGGGAAAGACGCGCACACGCATTAAAATGGCGCTGCTTGTCGATTCATCTATTTTACAGTTGATGGAGGAAGTTGAAAAATGACCTGCGCTTTATAAGAAACAGCTAAAAATTTAAAGAATAAAGCTGTGGGTAGAAGTATGTTGTCACTGTATATAGAATGTACCCAATATTCTCGGGTTCTTTTCTTGATCCGTCTTCTTCGTTGTATGATATCAATAATAATTACATTTCTGGACCATATTTTAGGTTTTATTACGCCAGTACTCACTTCAAGAGCTTACTAACTACAATGTATTTGCAAACGATCGGCCAACTGTTAGCTAGTGTGCGCATTCACCACTAACCCGACTGTTTAATTGACTAAACTCTCGGCCAATAGAATGTCTACAGAGTGGGTTGTTTCTAAATGATACACAAAGATATGCCTTATGATTTTCTTAATGATTATTTTAAAAACTTTATGTACATTACAAGTGATACGTTCATTAAAAAAAACAGACGGACAGCCAGGCTTACTGACCGAAAATTTTAAAAATCAAAGAAATTTATTTAATTATCTATAGTCCCTCTCAATAATATACTAGGTACAGTATCCTACAATTAACATTTTCATTATGTAATATAAGAAATAAAAGAAAAAGAAGAACGAAGATAAAAATACCTAGTATAGTAATAAAAATAGCAGTAAATTATTTTACACATAAAGTTTGTGTAACAAGTATGAAGGGACTGCTCCATATTGTCCTCTGTCAAAGATATGTGTGCAAATTGTTTTATTTTAGTTCAAAATGGACAGCAATAGAAATGCTAAAATCACACATGACGTTTAATAGTTACATTAGATGGGAGCGACTGAAGGCAAACAATTGAGGACATCCATGTAAAGAAGGTGAGTCACATTTGCCCTTTCTTATAAATTAAAATCTGTTCTCAAAACTACATATTATGTAGTAATGTTAATAATAAATAAAAATTTTAAACCAGACCAAGAAAATAAATATCAAATTTACCTGTATCTCTTTGTCTATTGCCAATTTTTTAACTTTCTCATACTTAGCGTAATCCTTTGCATTAGCATCTGTGTAAACGTATATAAAGGAGCCAGGGCGACTTGCTTGAAGTGCTAATTCTATTCCAGACATCGCTAACTCTGGACAGTCGCCACCACCATTAACTTTTATTGATTTTAATGACTTTTTAAATTCATCGCGATCCGTAGTATCTGTGCGTAAAATTGTTCCTGTGAAATTTTAAATTATACTGTTTTATCTGAACGCAGTACGGAGAGTAAATGAGGCTCGTCACTCTATTGGGAGAAGTTAAAATGTGTCAAAAGACAAGTATGGTAATTCATTGTGGTGATCACTATTAATCTCATCAAACTCGTACAGTCGGGTATTAGGCATCAATCTACTGCTTATCGTAGTCATCGTTAGAAGTGGTAACAACAATCTCTCAGCCTTTTTGAGTAATTACTATTATGATATAAGTATTACTAGATTTTCCTATAGTCACCACGTTTAAACAGGCGATTTGATGAGGGTAACAGTATTTTCCTCTCACTAGTATTCTTAGTGGTTTGGGTTAAGCGGTTTTGAACGGATTTTCTATCACCAACCGGACACCAAGGTCTTGAAAGTAACATTTTCAAAGTCACTGCGTGAAAATAAACAATCAATATCAGCATTATCGCATTAATATAATGATCTATAGATTTAAAATATTCGTGCATATATTTTAACGCATTTTTATCATTTAATGACGCAACTTAACCTGATTTTCATTTACATTTATAGTACCTTTACAATTATGATCACCAAAATTATGCTGAACAAAATAAGAGCAATCGGCATTTATGGTAGTGACAAAAATGCGTAATAAACTACTATAATAATAAATAATTATGCGATATTCTTTATACAAAATGAGCTATTTCAATATCAGGACTAAAACTGTGCAAATTGTAGCAAAGAAAATACCTCAAAGTTATTAATTGTACCCATATAAATTATTTTTTATCTAACTCACCAGGATCATTAAACGTAACAATAATAAAATTTTCTATCACTGAAGCATTAGAATTGATAACAGCATCAAAAATTTTGTCTGCGGCATTGAGTACACTTATAATTTCATATTTCATTGAAACTGTGTCATCGAACACAAATGTTAAACTGCTTTTGCTTTCGGTCAAACAAAAAATTGCACATGCTCGAAGACTATTTATTATAATAACACTATAATACACTCTGCTAATCATGGCGTCCGAATACTAAACGGAAGCACTGTGTTAAAGTACCAAGCGAATGTATGAAATTATTTATCTCACGAAATTGCGTTGCCGGATATTGAAGAAAACGTCATATAAAAAATATAATAGCAACTAAATAATTGCTCTACCAGTATTAGCCGTGTAGAAAGAAACAATTTTGAAAGTAGAATTACCAGTATATTTATTTAAATTCATGTAACCTCAATTCTACTACTGACCTAGTTTTTCATTATATCTACAATATTTCCAAAAAATATGAAGATTAGACTATGCTTACGTAGGGGAAAACGTCGCTTTTTATATGAAAATTTACAATCATCTTATCAATGCTACACAACCTACAACCTACCCAGCTTAAGCCTAGTTGTTAGTTTCTAAACTCCACCAAATATAAGAAATACCTTTTGACAGCTGTAACATTTGTTGGACTAGGCATTCCAACTGAAAAATCGGTACCTAAAATATTCGATTCTTAAGAAATATCAATAAAGATTCTTTAGAGTTAGTGATAATTTACAGTTTTTAAAGATTAATATCAGAATAAAGGAGAAACAGATAACTCAAATACCCTAATTTATCAGTTTTTTTTCGTATATATTGCTTACTGCTTGTACATGCCCCTAGCTGCCCCTACAAAAGTAAATATCCCGGGGCGCATCAGCGGTAGATTCGATGCACAACTAAGGGTGGGGCCCAACGGCCTAAGGACAATTAACCTACACGATAGATATAAGGCTAGGTAAATAAATAGTACGTACCTAGTTCCGAAGCTAAAACTGCCCCAAGCCTCGGTCAGCCGGTAGGTAGGTGTAGGTGCATGTGAGTGGTGTGTAGTAGTGTTTATATATGTGACCTGACCTAGCTGAGGTGATCGGGCAGCGGTCTGGTCCGATGCTACCTCACAATGTTGTATCACTCCAGCGGACGTCACCAATTGACAACTTCTTTCTTCATCTCACTATTTCAGTCTATCAACTTTATTGTACACTATTTCAATCCATCAATTTTATTGTACTTCTATTAACTTCGACCTCAACTAAATTCAACGTTCATCGAAATCAAACACGTGACACCCGGCACAAGTAACGAACAGTCGTTCAAAGTTCAATATTCTAGGTTCCGGATTCATTAGCACCAAATTTCAAACAGGGAACGTACGCGATCTCTTCTCGGGTCACAAAGTTCAGCGTTCCAAACAACGAACTAAATTCCTTCGTACGATATTAAATACTATGCCCGCATTAAGACTCAAAATCAGCCTAGCTAACACGCAAACTAACTACATGGTGAACACACAAAAGGCACTTAACGCGACGGTAAAATTAAACATTAACTTTAACTTTAACTTTAACTTCCAAAAACAATTAACCGGGCCACTCCCTTGAAATGGAATGCGAGCATCAAATTCCAGACGGTATGTCTACTCGGCGTGCGCGCAAGGTTCCACGTCACACAATCAAGTTAACTATTGCAAAATGCACTTCCACATGCAATCATTATACAATTGACGTAATTACTTTCAAACGAAATTACTTTAATCAGTCAAATTCAATGCAAGCCTCTTGTCACGAACGTACAACTTAGACAAACTAATTCGAGGCGGTCTACACGAAACCCCAAATTCAATAGCAAATTAAACGCGCACAAATACTTAAATTCTAGACCCCAAAACCAAAAAAACGGGTCGCACGAAACCGATGTAGCGGTCACGAAAATTCGCTAATCGACAGCGCCGCTGCTGTCAAGCTACTGACTTCGCACTCGCGTCCTGCGCCCGCGCCCTCTGCCGAGCGACCCACACGGGAGTGGGGCCACGGTGACCTTTACAAAGTCAGCGAGAGGACACGAGTGTTGAATGCAAATTTCAAATGTTAATTGATTGGCCTAAACACTGCTAATTTTCAGAGATTAAGTTATATATATTTTTAAGGACTACACTAGGATAAAAACAAATTTATATAATCACTTTCACTGCAACTAGTGGAGCTGTCGTCACCATCGTTGTTTACATCAATCATTATTTGATTTTCTTTATTGTATTCAAAATAATTGTCTCTTTCATAGTCGTCTGAAATCATTTTCTTTGTTTTTGGAGATCGTCCACCTGGATTATTTACGGAGCGACATTTAGTGGGTCAACCCAGCTGGAGAACAGCTCAGAGATCAGCTGATTATTTTGGACGAGATAGTTAAAGGAGTACATGCCTACCTTGATACGTACGGACAATGACGGAAGGTTTATAGAGCCAAAAGTGGGTGACGTTTAAATAAAAGATCATTCGTTACCATGTAACACCTAACCACGAGGTAAAATTCATAGGAAACTATCCGGAAAAGATAGTCACACTAGAGTTGTTGACATCATCACTAACACAGGCATCCTAAGAAGACCTACTTCCCGATTAACAGTTCTGGTAACCGCACCACCGCGCCGGCCGAAATGACGGTGCGGGACGCACAAGGGGGAGACTGTTGGCGACGCGAGATAATGTTTCATAAAAATATTTCATTCGTTGTTTAAGGAAGAGAAGGTTTTAGAATGTCTAATTTATATTAATAAAGAAATACTAGTATTTTCTCCTTACGGTATAGCTTTCGGAGTACAATAGAAGGCCGATGTTTGCAATTCGTTCAGGACCAGCTACAGTTTATAATTAAGAAAGAAAATTGATCAGGGAAAGTAGGAAAAAATTAAAGTTTCAGTATCGCATTTTCAAAGGGAATTTTAATGAAGAAGTTAATGTTTTATGCCAAGATCCTTCAGTGTTCACCCTAATAGTAAGGACAAGTAATATACAGTCCACTCTGTACATATGACTGGCGTCAAGACCGGGACCATTACATAGGGATTAGGGACCCATCATCTTAGTCATCAACCATTTATTTTGAGAGGGAACGGAGTTCTAAATTGAACGTCTAACTCTAGGGTTACGTCCACCTCGTTATTCCCGAACCCAGCGTGGTGTAACATTGGTCTGTGAAGAGAAAGTCAATAATTGATTGATCTCTGTTGCAGGACATGAGACGAAGACGTGTTCCCTTTCAGTTATGACACAGAATATAATTTTTTTTCAATTGAAATTGTTAATGTATTATTTTAATTATTTTGTGTGAGTTTTATAGTGACAGACGATTATGTTTCTGTGGGTGTCTGAGAAAGTATGCGTGATTACTCCCTATGGACGGGGATCCTATACTCAATATCTATGGATGGCGGATTATTATTAATAATAATAAATAATGATTAATTATTTTATAAAGTCGTCTAAAACTATGGTGGAAGTAATATTTCGAACTATTATATTTCAGTAATGAACATAAAGTGAAAATACATTCATTTCAAACATTATCATATTGAATAAAACTATTGTTACGGATTTTATCGCGTTTAATTTACTTATTTATACTTATTTTTAATTCCCGACGTCTCGGGTGCTTTAACCAAAAATTAATATTCAAAACCTGAAGGTAGCCAGGCTTATTATGACATCAAGACGTCAAACATCTCACTCTCCCCCGTGACCATGGGTGGACCATATACGAGTATAGGACCCGAAACGCCGAGAGTTATTGGCGATTCAATATACAACGCCTTTGCCGCCTTATCGAACCTTATGGTCCCTATACACGATCGGCCATGATGGACGAATACTAGCGATCACGATCGTGTGGAAGGCATGATCGCCTATGATCGCCCATGATCGGTTATGATCGTGATCGAGCGTAATCGCCGCTGTGTCGGTTTTTCAGACAATCATCAAAGAAAGTTCGGCCATGATCGTGCGCGCGTCTACATGATCGCCGATGCTCTATAAACTTACCTTGTTTTATTTCGGTGTATAGTTAACATCCACCTTTTTTGCTTACTTTTGTTTTCACCATTCTTTTAAGGCATACATTTAAATAATGCTTATATATGTAAACTAATTACGTAAATAAATACCGGTAGCTGCAACTGTTTCAACGTCCATCTCGGACAGATGACAATACAAATATGTAGGATGCACGATCGTGTAGGCAGCCGCGCAATGATTGAGACAATCATGGCCCATTCTGTGATAGTCCATCGTGGCCGATCGTGTATAGGGTCCATTAGGAATGTATGTGAATGACAATCAGTTAAAATAATCCATTACCACACATCCTGAATTTTTTTTCACCATTCGCTTATATACTTATTCTGAACCTTCTCTGCAAATTTGGCCGTATATTGCAAAATAACCCTGTATATATGAGGTGAACGACAGCGGCTGACTACCGGAGTACTCCTTCATAATGTAATTGTCCCATACTAAGGACATATGAGAGTAATATCTCATCAGACCCGAAGTTATACTTCTTTTTAAGCATGCTGGTGTTTACATCCCGAGCCGCCGAAGCGTCAGCCTAGGGCTAATAACACTCCTGCTTACTGCGTAATTCAGTCTTACAGGAGCGACCAAACCAAGGCTGAGTGAGATCTGCCTCCGATGGGTACCACAGATGATGGATTAAATAGTTCCATTCCCAGTAGCACCACATCAGTGACAGAGTCAGCAACAGCGCTGGGATCATCCGGCGAGAAGTAAACCCGACCCCATGGATAGGATGCAAAGAAAGACCGCATTCCGTACCAATCCTCCGACCTGTAATGACAAATACGGCAGCAGCCTGCAGAACACAACCGCGAAGGGAGCGTGAGTGGATTTTAATAGCATGCAAATAGCCCTGGAGCTCAATAGAAGAATTAGAATTTTAATATACAGACATACACTTTGATTTTATTTATGCGTACGAGTATAGATAGCGGGGTTCGGACGAAATTCCACTAATGCTTTCGTAATATTTATTTGCTTATACGAGTACATATTATTTTTTTTTTATATCTACTA